GGCGGATGCACAGGCCACCCTCAGAGAAAGGGTGGCAGATAGAGTCCCAACTCACCTAGTGGGTACGTCTGCCCCTCCAGGAATCGTCCTCGGAACCCCGAAAATAACGGGCCATGATCTGGTCAATCTCGTCCATAGTAGACCTAGAGAGGTCAAGGACCATAAGAAGATGAAGCAGAAGGGAGCTAAGGGTACTCTTGATTAGCGCAAGCCGACCACCGAATGAAAGGTGTCTACGAGACCAACCAGAAATCCTGTCGATCATCCTCTGCCTGATGCCCGCAAAGAGCGCTCTCGTGAGATTGCCCTTATATAAAGGGGCACCAAGGTAGGTAATGAAAAGGTCGTCGCGCGCAAAGCCAGTGATCTCGTGGACCCGCTGAGCCCACCTGTCTGCGCTGGAGGAGGAGAGGGTGAAGGTGCTCTTCTGCACACTGATCAGCTGGCCAGTAACCGAGCTATAGTGCTCCAGAAGGTGCATAAGCTCGATCAGCCCATCATCATCTTCCCGGGTGAAGATGATAATGTCATCCGCGTAAGATAGGTGCGAGATGGGAGAACCATAGCCACGGGTGCTGTATGTCATCCGTGGATAGTCGCGGATGAAGCCGTCAAGGCAGCGAGAGAGGTAGTCCGCCGCAAGAAAAAAAAGGGACGGGAAAAGGGCGTCTCCCTGTCTAAGGCCTCTAGAGGAGGGAAAAAAATCAGTGGGGTTACCATTAACCAGGACCGAGAACGTGCAGTGCTCCACACACGCCTCAACAAAATTGATCCACCACTCTGGAAATCCCATCCTAGCCAGTGCCTCCCTAAGAAACGGCCACTCCACTCTATCATACGCCTTAGCCATGTTTAGCTTCAGCGCAATGTTCGGTGCCCGCTTTCAATCCGCATGGGAGATATTGTGGATCATCTCCTGGGCCAAAAGTATGTTATCACTAATGACCCGATCCTTGACAAAGACACTCTGGTTCGGGAAATGAGGGAGGGGAGAATAGGGAAAAGACGACCGTTAAGAATTTTTGAAATAAGCTTATTGGTCACATTACACAGGCTTATGGGCCTGTAGTCGGACCAAGAGCTCTGATTCGGTCTTTTGGGAATCAAGACAACAGAGGTAGCCGTGAAGGAATCCGGCATCCGGTGACCTGAGAAGAAATCCAACACTGCCTCCTCAACGTCAGGCTCGACTATATCCCAGCAGACCTGATAGAAGAGGGAAGAGAAGCCATCGGGCCAGAAACGCTGTTGGGATCAATCCCGAAAACAGCATCCCTAACCTCCTCCCTACTCGGGAGCTCGAAGAGGCCGACAAGGTCGACCGAAGGAGGAATGGTAGGGAAAAAAGATACGATCGGGGCAACGAGGGACCCTCTATCAGAGGTGAAGAGGGTTTGGAAGTGAGCAACAGCCGACTCCCGAATCTGAGACTCCTGGGTCAGGGATGACCCATCAGCCTCAATATTGTGGATGTACGACTTAGCACGCTTCTGCCTAACGAAGCCCTGAAAGAACATAGTGTTCCGCTCGCCCTCAGCCACCCAGCGAGTGGCCGCCTTCTGCTTCCAGAAATTCTCCTCCATGAGGAGTCGGAGTTGATACTTGACATGGTAGTGATGTATTCCAGTCCTATTCTCCGGAGTGGGATCCAGTCATTGGCCCGCTCAGCCTCTGCGTGCGCACTCTGAGCCGCAGAAAGGCGCTGATGGAGATTTCCAAAAACATCCAAGTTCCACTGTCTCAACCTACACCGTAGTCTGCCGAGCTTCGCCTCGAGATTGCGCATCCCGAAGAGCGAGTCGGCTGAAGCCAGGAGTCCTTGACAGTGTCATAGAAAGAGTGGTGGCGAACCCACATGTTCTGGAACCTAAAGGAAGCGCGACGGGGGTGCTCGAAAATCGACACCTAATCAGGAGGGGTGAATGGTCAGACCCAAATCGAGTTAGGTGCGTGACGGTTGTGACCGCAAACACCTTCGACCACGCCTCAGAAACCAAGGCACGGTCGAGCCTCTCTTTGAGGTCGTCCCTAACCCACGTGAAGGGCTCACCCTCACATCCAGCATCAATCAACTCACAGTCCGCCACTGTCTGAGCAAAGTCCCATATCTCCCGAGACCGGTCCGTGCGACCACCCACACGCTCATCGGGGTGTAGAAAGATGTAGAAATTGGCACTAACCATCCATGGCAATCCCTCCATACTCTCAGCAATCTCACGCAGGGCGTCCCACAGATCATATCTCCCGACTCTATTACACTTGGCATAAACCAAAGTGTGGAATATGAGCTCAGGGAGGTGAGTAGTAGAAAGCTCGACATGAAGCACCTGATCTGGAAGATCCAGATCTTATGAGAAATGTTACCCACGCCCGAATGGAAGCCAAGGTGACGTGAGAGTAGTCAAAGTCAGGGGTGCGAATCATCGGCTCGATAAAGCCAACAAAATGAAGACTATGATCACGAATAAGAGAGCGAAGATGAGCGAGAGTGGCCCTATAAGCCAGGCCCCAGCCATTCCAAGTAATGGATGTGATAGACATATCAACAATCGGAAGAGCCACCGGACAGGGTCCGCCTGTGGCGAGGCTGAGTCGTGCCACCTGTAAGAGGTGGGAAGTGGCGCAAAGATCGAAGAGAAGGAGAGACAGTCCGCCGTGTCATGCGCGTTGTGGGTCTGGTCTTCGAGGGGGGACGCCCTCGGTAGGTGCTCGTAGCCTGCGAATCATCCTGCTGAGCAATCTGACCCAGACCGGCACTAGGAGCCTGTCCCATCTCCGGGCCAGTCTCCTGTCTGTCATAGTGCACGAAATCACTAGAGGCGAAACTCTCGCACGAGATGTCGTGCTGGGCGCGGTTAAGACCGCATGTCTACACAGGAAGGGGAGGAAGAGAGACTCCAGTCGGCATAGCACTCAGGTGCTCGCCGACATAGTGTGGCTGAAGACTAGCAGAGGCGATATGTGCCGGCTCAGTCGGGCTCCCAATCCCAGCAGAGGGGCTACCTGCCGGCTCATCCCCTTTCGGGGGAGCGGTGACGAGAGCAGTCCTCATCTCCAGAGGGTGGTCCTGGCTAGATGAATGGACAGGCAAAGGAATAGCGACACCAGTGTTATCATCAGATAAATGGATAGGCGTGTCACTGACGAGGTGGACGGCTGCTCCAGGTCATCTAGAAGAAGATCATCATCATCCTAAAGAGCAAGATCCGAGAGCCTATAAGGGTCACAAAAAGGCTCGGCCTCATCCTCTGGTTCTGGGGAGAGGACAACAAAGCGCGAGTGATTGGCCTTAAAGGCCGACTGTAAGGTATCCTTGGGAAAGAAGCCCGAGGCCTTGGCCTTGGGCCCTACTGTAGCCAACAGCTTTGGCTGAGCATCCTTCCCAGTCTGGGCAGTGGCGTCCATCACGGCCTTGCCCTTATCTGTGGCCCCCTTTGGGGACCCGGGAACATGGAGAGGGCCTTTGCCCTTTCCCTTCGGGTCAATCCGGCCGTTGGAGGGTCCCGGCTGGGTCGCACGACGATGCTGAGGCGGAGTGGGTCGTGGCTTATTGCCACTTATGTAGCAATCGGCCACTATGTGTCCCACATGACTGCACGAGAACAGAAAGCGAGAATCTTCTCATAGATCACCCGCTGAACAAAGGTCTCTGAACCCTGCTCAATCTCAATCTCATGGATAGGCTCCACTCTTAGATCAATCTCAACACAAAACCGCGCCATATTAGCCCTGGATTGAAGGGCAGTCGGGGCATCGATACGGACCAGTTTTCTGACACACTTAACAAGTGTGGTGATGGAATCCCAGTGATAAAGGTGTGGTGGAAGGCCGAGGAGGCCGCACCACACGGGGACGACGGGCGTCTCCGTCTTCGGGTTGAACTCGGAAGTGTACTTGAATACCTTAGCTGGGCATCCACACACGGGGATAGATGTTTTAAGCCAAGCCTCATTATAGTCCTCTGGGAGATTAAACGAGACTAAGAGATGATTGAAATTATACCACTTAAAGGAGAACCTACCCTTAAAACCCAATTTGCCTAAGCAAGCAGCAAGGTCTCGGGGGGAGGGATAGCATAGGTAAACTTAAACACAAGGGTGTTAGCTAACTTACCGGCAAGGTTGTCAGCTTTGGCCTGTGAGAATCGAGCCTTCATTTTGTTTCCCTTCGAGTCGATGATGGTCTCATAAACATGGTCATAATCCCCGTCAAGGGTGTACTCCTTGGGCGTCGAGCGCGGGCTGCCTGTGCCGCCATCTCTGTTCCCCGTGATAGCCTCCCGAAAGGAGAGCGGCCTATTGGGTGTGGCCAGAAGGGTCCCGGTTGCAGCAGTGGTGGCTGTGGGAACGCCCGTCGGCGGTGTCAGGGAGTGCTTGAAAAATTACCCTCGACCGTCATATGATGTCCCGCCATTACCACCCCATTTTCATTCACGAACAAAACATCATGTTTAGTTTCTCCGCCAGAGTGGTTAGATGTACCAGAAAGCTGCTCAGTCGGGGGAGGGGGGGAGAGAGAGAGCTTTGTTTCCGAGGGTCCCATCCGTAGAGAGCGTAGTAGTAGAGCTCGGCTTCGGTGCATCCCCGGGATGGATTCCGGCCGGCTGGGGTTTTTCGGTAGCCATGACGGCGTCGGCACCGGCGAAGGGCAGGAGGTCGATGCCGGCTGGCTGGGAGAAGGGGTCGGTTTGCTGGGAGTTATGCAGGGGGAAGATGGTAGGTTGGGCTGTGGAAAGAAAGTGGGTTGTGGGTTGGGCCGGGAAAGTGTGAAAGTGGGTAAGAAGTTTGTGTGGTGGGATGAGGGTTGAGGTGGTTGGGAAGGTTGGGCTTGAAAGGCCGGAGAAGTGAGGGTTGGATCAATAGAGAAGGTTGATATGTGGTTAGGAGTTATTTTTGGGCCTAAAATTGGGAGGGCCCAAAACGGTTATGGAAGACAAAAGATGGAGAGTTGGGCCTGGGAATGGGGATTTGGGCCTGCGTTAGGAAAGTAACCTATCGAGCTCAGCTGAGGGTTTCTCGTCTCTCCGCCGCCAAGAGTGTGAGGTGGCAAGGATCCGGAGGCGACTGGGCATGAAATCGCAGGCGATTACCGATGGTGCTTGTTGGGCCGGAGATTTGGCCAGCTGACTGACTTCTAAGCAACCGGTTAGGTGCGTCGACGATAAAGGACCCCACTAAGCTACCAAGGGCGGTTGCAGCGCCGGTTGAAGGAGCGGTCACGTAGCTGATTAGGGGATTGGTCTAAAAATGGGGGAATTGCCCTTCTGTCAAAGCTGGGAACCTAGCTTTGTCATTTACAAACGCGATAGCCATCTTCTGAAAGTCGCGCTGGGAGATAAGGGACTGCAAATCTGATATAGCGACCATATTACTAGGTTAGTTGTCTGTAGTTGCTAGGTTAGTAGTTTCTAGGTTAGTTCTCTGTAGTTGCTAGGTCAGTTCTCTGTAGTTGCTAGGTTAGTAGTCGCTAGGTTAGTTCTCTGTAGTTGCTAAGTAAGTTCTCTGTAGTTGCTAAGTTAGGAGTTGCTAGGTTAGTTCTCTGTAGTTGCTAGGTTAGTTGTCTGTAGTTGCTAAGAGCTATCCGCATTTTAAGAATTATTATAAATTCCTAACAGATAACAGAGTTCAACACAAAAAAACCGAATTATACACAAAATCCTGAATACATCAATAATTACAACATAAATAGACAAAATCTGAGACCCTTGAAGTTTACTTCAAATCTTCAAATCAGACACTCATATGGACACTAATTTAAAACTTACTGCCAATGACCCTAATGCCGTTGTCGTAGACACAAAGAGTACATGAGATTGATAGGGAGGTTATTATATCTTATAATCACTAGACCTGATATTTCATTTAGTGTCCAATGTCTTAGCCAATTCATGTCTAACCCCTCTTAATAATATCTAATGGCAGCCCACAAAATTTGAAGGTATGTCAAATCCACTGCAAGACAAGGTATTTTCTACGGTAAATCATAATCTTTACAAATTCAAGCTTTTAGTGATAGTGATTGTTCAGATTGTATTGATAGTAGAAGAACCATTACTGGTTTTGCTATTTTCTTAGGTGATTTTTTTTGTTTCATGGAAATCAAAGAAGCAACCTACAGTTAGTAGATCATCTGCTGAAGCTGAGTATAGGACCTTAGCTTCAACTGTTTCTGGAACTCTGTGGATTCTATATATATATATTTTTTTTTGGTACAGGGACTTTCCGGTTTCTGGATCCACATGGGAACCGACTAATCCAGAATCGAGCCGCGTAGGACCACAAGGGCGGCAAAGCTCTCCCTCAAGAGTTTTTAACACTGCTGCTATATTCTTGCATTACTCATTGTTTTCCAGTCTCTGATTCTTTTTTTTTTTTTTTTCAGAAAACAAATTATATCCATTGCTTCAAACCCAATTTTCTATGAAAGAACAAAGCATATTCAAATTGATTGGCTAAGGGATTATCTCATTGCATTATATACCCACAACAGACGAAAGAGCTGATATACTAACTAAAGTCATTGGAGGACAATATTTCCAGCATTTTTCCTAGAACTTGAAAAATATTAACGTTCATATAGCGGGGTAATAGAATAAATGTATTTCATAAGCAAAGTTGTATTTTATAATGCAGGACTTTATATTAGAAGAATTGTAAGACTATCTCCAACGCTGCGTTGGAGTAGCGTTTATCTCTAGAGATTTGGGAAAATCTCACTCCAACGCAACGCTATATCTTGACGCTAGATCAGAGTATTGAACAGTGTTGTGCTACTTGTGGATGTGGCGCAACACTGTTGCACGGGCGCTACATATTTTTTTCTTTTTTTTTTCAGTCTTTGTGTATGTTAATGTAATATTATTGATTATGTAACTAACTTGGTTTTTTATTTATTTATTGATGTATTATAATTTTATTTTGCAACTTTTTTAATAAAATAATACCATATGAATAAAAATTTACCAAGTGTATTTGAAATTTCAGAATAAAATATTGTACAAAATATTTTGTACCATAGTTTGTACTATATTTATCAAAGGACCTTCTGCAATTTTATTTTGTATAATCTATATAGAATTAAGTATACATATATATATATATATATATATATATATATATATATATATGATGACAATTTATTTGAAATAAAAATAAATAAAAAATAATATAATTGATGTAGAGTAAAATGTAGAGATGAGGACTGGAGACAGAATGTTTCACTTTATTCTACAGTAGAGTAAAGCCGCGCTAAAGTAGAGTAGCAGTAATGCTCACCTACCCACGGTGGGCACATGTTATTATGTCACCGCTTATGTGGCATGCACACATTGGTGATGTTAATATGTTTCAAAAAATACATCACCAATGTGTGCATGCCATATAAGGGGTGGACATATTAACATGTGCCCACCGTGAGTAGAGGAACATTAATAAGTAGGATATAAAGGTTGAAAATGGTCTAATTAGCTTCTTTATATTTATGTAATTTACATTTTAGTCCCAAGTATATTCAAAAATGCCAAAAGAACCACTTTGTACTCACTTTTTCGGTTTAATGAAAACCTAATTTCCTTTTTCTCTCTCGACTGAGTTCTCCCTATCATATTTTCATCAATTCATATATTCAATACTATGGGGAGGAATAGGAAAGCTCTACCCAACTTTCATATACCACCGTCAGTAGTGCGCCAGCCACCGCCTCCTCGACGGCCGGGTAAAGAAGAATGTAATACGGAGCTCGAACCGTTCAAATCCCTGGTTCCACCCGTCCACCAGGTTAGGTTACATATATACAGAATCCTTTGTTAGATTTTTTTTTTCTCATGGCAAGTATAATATGCAGATTATCCGCACTTTCTACCGGGAGGAGGTGTAAAAGGAAGATGGTGACAGGCATAGAATCCATACCTGATGAGCTGTTGTTTGAAGTCCTTGTGCGCATCCGAGGCCAAGATATTTATCAGGCAAGTTTTGTTTGCCGCAAATGGTACCATATCATCTGCACCCGTAATTTCATGTCCGCCTACTTGCACCACTCCACTTATGGCCTCCTATTCAAATCCTTGGTATGGGATTCACTTTTAATTCTCCATCAAAGTGGAGGAGGGTTCGAGATGACCCAGTTGAGGTACAAACGTAGTTGTGTTGTCAGTAGTAGTTGTAATGGATTGTGGTTAGCAAGACATATGAATAGCAGAGATGATCTTTGTTGAGTAAAGATGACAATATGGCATACGAATTAAAAACGAGAAAAGTAAATAACACAAGATTTACGTGGTTCGGCAATGTGCCTACGTCCACGGCGGCTGAGGGATCTTTATTATTCTCAAATAGTCACAAATACATCAATACACCATGTATTTATACTATAGCCCTACAAGGTATTAATTTACTTAAATACCCCGTACCGTACCTGCTCGCTCTACTCCGCTCACTTCGCTCGGTCGCTCCGCTTCCCTCGCTATGTTCGCTCCGTTACGCTCGCAGGCATAAGCCTGCCCTCTTCCTTTGTCAATATATGAGCCATACCAACAAATCTCCACCTTGGCGAATATATCACCTCCTTAGGAGAACACAATAGCGAGCACCTCTGTGAGACACACCAAGCAGGCCGGGGGTACCATGCAACTCTAGCATGCACAAACATTCAACAAATCCAAGCAATGCTTGAATTTGTCAGAAGTAACAGTCTTAGTCAACATATCAGCAGCATTCTCTTCAGTATGAACTTTCTCCAACTGAATATCACCAGATACAATCCTCTTGTGGAACCTCACATCAATATGCTTCGTCCTAGCATGATATATCTGATTCTTAGCCAAATGAATGGCACTCTGACTGTCACACTGTACTAGAACTCCACCTTGCTGAATGCCCAACTCTCTAACCAATCCAGCAAGCCACACTGCTTCTTTTGCCGCTTCAGCCAAAGCAATATACTCAGCTTCAGTTGTACATAGAGCAACTATAGGCTGAGTATTCGACCTCCAACAAATAGACCCTCCACCAAAAGTGAAGACATACCCAGTGGTAGATCTCCTATTATCCAAGTCCCCAGCATAATCAGAATCCACATATCCTACAACAAAAGGATCCAACCGCTGATCTCCAAACACAATACCATGTCCCGCAGTACCTTTCAAATATCTGAAAATCCATTTGACTGCCTCCCAATACTGTTTACCCGGCCTAGACATATACCTGCAAACTTGACCAATAGCATGAGCTAAATCAGGACGAGTACATACCATGGCATACATCAGACATCCAACAACACTGGCATAAGGTATCTCCACCATATCCTGAGTCTCCTTGTCCGACTTGGGGCACTGATCAACAGAAAGCTTGAAGTGGTTTGCTAATGGAGTGCTCACCGGTTTTGCTTCATTCATCCCAAACCTCTGTAGCACCTTCTCCACATAACCCTTCTGAGATAACCACAGCTTCTTTGATCCTCTATCCCTGTGAATCTCCATCCCAAGAATCTTCTTCGCAGCCCCCAAATCCTTCATCTCAAATTCCTGACTCAAAAGGCTTTTCAGATCAACAATGTCACGCATATTCTTGGCAGCAATAAGCATGTCATCGACATAAAGTAAAAGAAAAATCATAGAACCATCACCAAGGCTCTTAGTGTAAACACAACAATCAAAATCACAACGCTTGTAGCCAATCTTCACCATATATGAATCAAACCGTATATTCCACTGCCGCGATGCTTGCTTCAAGCCATACAAGGATTTCTTCGACCTGCAAAATAAATGCTTCTTCCCTAGTTGAACGAAGCCCTCTGGCTGCTGCATGTAAATAGGCTCTGTGAGATCACCATGCAAGAAAGCAGTCTTCACATCCATCTACTCCAAATGCAAATCCCAACTAGCCACCAATGCAAGTACAGCCCTGATCGAAGTATGTCTAACCACAGGGGAAAATGTCTCATCATAGTCAATCCCCATTTGCTGTGAGTATCCTTTAGCCACCAATCGAGCCTTGAACCTTTCCCCTACTTTTTCTGTTACCGATGACTTCCTTGTGTAAATCCACCTATAAACAATAGCTCTCTTTCCTTCGGGAAGAACATCCAACTCCCATGTCTGATTCATGTGTACAGAATTCATCTCTTCTTCCATGTAAACCTTCCATCTATCATTATTCTCACAAGAAACAGCCTCCTGGAAAGTACTAGGATCCACACTAGTGAACGTAAGAGAAAACGCCACCATATCCTCATAACCAAATCTTACCGGAGCTTGTATATTGGTACGCCTCACTCTATCCCGAGCTAACTTGTAGCTCTCTGGCACATCAGTTGGGCCAGAAACATCATGATCAACATCATCAGGTGCAGAACTCAAACTCTCCCCCTTATCAAGAACTGTTGGCACATGTTCCAACTCCACCTGTACCTTATCTGCATCTGATCCCAACATAGACTGTTCATCAAACACTGCATCTCTACTAATCACCGTGTTCTTCTCAACTGGATCCCAAAACTTGTATCCCTTCACACCTTTCTTATAGCCCAGAAAAGTGCACTTCTTTGATTTAGCATCAAGTTTTGACCTCTCATCAGCAGGAATATGAACATAAGCAGGACAGCCAAAAATCTTCAAATGATCAAAACTAACATCATTACATGTCCATACTTCTTCTGCAACTTTGCCATCCAGAGATGCACGTGGTGATCTGTTAATTAAATAACAAGCCATACTTACAGCCTCAGCCCAGAAACTCTTTGGCAAACCCGCATTCAGTTTTAAACACCTCGCCCTCTCAGCCAGTGTCCGATTCATCCTCTCAGAAACACCATTCTGCCGTGGTGTTTTACGCACTGTAAAATGCCTTTGAATCCCATGCTCCTCACAAAAATTCTGGAACTGTGAATCGGTGTACTCTGTACCATTATCAGACCTTAAGTACTTGATTTTCCTACCAATCTGGTTCTCCACCTCAGCCTTCCATAGCTTGAATTTAGCAAAAACTTCAGATTTATGCTTCATGAAATACACCCAAACTTTCTTCGAAAAATCATCAATAAAGGTCACGTAGTACAAAGAACCACTAATCGATGTCACTCTAGTAGGACCCCACACATCTGAATGTACATAATCCAGAATTCATTTTGTCTTCTTCTTCCCAGTCTTGAAACTGACTTTTGTCTGCTTTCCCAAAACACAAAACTTGCAGAAATTGAGTTTGCAAGTTTTAACACCATGCAGAAGCCCCCTCTTATGCAGTTCAGTCATGCCATGTTCACTAAGATGTCCAAGACGCATGTGCCACAATTTCGTGCTATCTTCACACGACTCCACCGAATGGACTCCACCTACAACTGTACTTCCCAACAGTTTGTAAATGTTCTCTGTAGTGATCCTCCCCTTCATCACAGTCAAAGCACCCTTCACAATCTTAATGGTTTCCCTATCCTCATCAGCCTTGGGAATAAAACCATTTCTATGCAAAGTACCCAAAGAAATCAAATTCTTCTTCAACTCAAGGATTTGTCTCACATCACATAATGTCCTAACAGTTCCATCATACATCCTGATTTTGACATCTCCAATACCGACAATACCGCAGCATCTATCATCACCAAGAAAAACAGAACCCGAGTTTTCTGGTTTATAAGTAGCAAACCACTCTCTGTTAGGCGTTATATAATATGAACATCCAGAATCGAGAATTCAAGCATCATCATACTGCGTAGTCGAAATAGATAACATATCTCCATCACTGCAATCGGATTCCTCATTTTGTACCACATTCGCAGAATTGGATGACATATCAGCAGTCTGTTTCTTCCACTTTGGGCAATCCCGTTTAAAGTGCCCTTGTTCATTGCACTTATAACACGTCACAGTTTTTCTCCCTTTCGATTTGTCTCGCGACTTGGATCTGAAATTCCAATTTCCTGAATTGTCCTGCACCTGTTTCCTTCCACGATCCTGGTTACCCTTCACATATAAACTGTCACTTTGAGAAGATGAATCTCTAGATTTCTGTTTTCGTTACTTGTGAGCCAACAACGCTAAAGTAATCTCCTCAGTCTTGATCATTTCATTCCCATATGTAAGGGTAGTCACCATATGTTTGTAAGAAGGAGGTAACGAACACAGTAAAATCATTGCCTTGTCTTCATCTTCAATCTTGACTTCAAGTGAAGCCAAATCCGTGACAACCTGATTGAAGATATTCACATGTTGTCCTAAATCGGTCCCCTCCTGTATCTTCAGCCCGTATAACTTCTGCTTCAGATATAGTTTTGTCGTGAGGGTTTTCGACATAAACTGCAATTCCAGTTTCTTCCAGATCTCATCCGCCGATTTGAGATGCATAACGTGATATATAACTTCATCTGCAAGGCACAACCGAATCGTCCCGGCCGCCCATTCCTACAGATCTTGCCAATCATCGTCTTCCATCCCCTTTGGCTTTTCTGCACGCAGCCCTTTCTGAATTCCTTGCTGAGACAATAAATCTTTTACTCTCGTCTGCCATAATCCGAAAATGCCATGACCATCAAATTTCGAGACCTCGAATTGCGATCCTCCCGTCATCTCCGTCGCCCAATCAACCTGGCTCTGGTACCACTTATTGAGTAAAGATGACAATATGGCATACGAATTAAAAACGAGAAAAGTAAATAACACAAGATTTACGTGGTTCGGCAATGTGCCTACGTCCACGGAGGCTGAGGGATCTTTATTATTCTCAAATAGTCACAAATACATCAATACACCATGTATTTATACTATAACCCTACAAAGTATTAATTTACTTAAATACCCTGTACCGTACCGCGGAGGCTCTGCCCCCGCACCCCCGTCTATACCGCGGGGGCTCCGCCCCTGCACCCCCGGCCCAACTAATCGACCCAGCCCAACAGGGGCTGATGCCTGCTCGCTCCACTCCGCTCACTTCGCTTGGTCGCTCCACTTCTCTCGCTACGTTCGCTCCGTTACGCTTGCAGGCATCAGCCTGCCCTCTTCCTTTGTCAATATATAAGCCATACCAACAATCTTTATGTCACAAATCCGACAACAGGGCAAATTGTTCTTCTCCCTCCATGTGTTGGTAAAGTTTTTGATGTTAACTATGCAATGGGTTACTCACCGTCTTCCATGGAGTATAAAGCGGTTGTATTAGTATACTGTCCTCGTGTGTATTTTCGTATATTAACCGCTGGAGTTGATAAAACGTGGAGGGACGTTGATTTGGGACTCGTATCATCGAACGAGGCAATTAGTGCGTTCTACGAACGTCCGTTGGTTACTGAAGGCTTCGTGCATTGGTGTTGTCACCGTACACACCACGTCTTGACACTTAATGTGGAGACCGAAACTATTACAGAGACTCCCGCCCCTCTCCCGCCTCCTTCTCTTGGGAGTCAAAACAATGTTTACTTATCGACTGGAAAATATCTGTCGTTATTGCGTCATTACGGGGAGTGCTCGTGGCAGGTTTGGGAGATGAGTCGACCCGAAACAGGGGAATGGAGAATGAAGGCCGATTTTTCGTTGGAGGTTCACAAGAGAAGATTCAACCTAAATGGTGTTTTAGACAAATATTTTTTGTTCCCGATCGGCTGGCTGAAGTACTCAGAGTTGTTGGCCTTGAGAGCTAAGGATGAAGGGCCTGCAGTTTTTGTGTACAATCTTGTTACGCAAGAAGTCGATGAAATCGGGTTATCTTCCTATATTAGTTTTTACCATCTTTCGGTACATAAGAATAGTTTGGAGTGGTTGGATGCAGTCAAGCCTCCTCTACCTCCGTC